ATTCGCATCGTACATACATACATATTTATTGTAATTGGGCAGTTCGATGCCGCGTCTCGACTCGATTCTCTTTTGGTGGCATACAAAATGCAAAAAAAAAAAAAAAAAAAAAAAAAATCATAAATTAATTAGCATAAGCAACACTTAGTCGCCGTATCACAGTTTCTGTTTCACATTCGTCTAGGCTCCAACTAGCCCCTGACTCATACCACAATGACTCAGCCCTCCATACCCATAACCAGTGCCGGTCCAGTCGCCAGTCCCGAGCGCCCCAGCTTCTCAGCTCCCCACTCTGTGAGCCAGTTGCTCAACTTCTGTTAAATAGCAATAATTTTGCCTCATTTTAAGTTGATGCGACCCAGAGTGGAATTAACGTATATTTACATACCCTGTGCACTCTGATCTATAACCTCTTGGCACACATACACAGCCACATACATAGACAAGCATATATGTATATGCCTTAAGCTTTAGCTAGTTCGCAACATCTTTGACGGCTTGCCTTTGTATTAATCTATACATGTGCCTATTTCTCTGACTACAGAGGCTTGCCTCACTCCGATTCATATGCAAATCTTATCTGCTATAGTATGCAATTTATCGATAACTTGTCGCGTTTTCCTAGTATCAACAAACATTTACAGCGATAGTCTACTTAAAGTTTTTTCTGTAGCTCATAAAATCCAGTATCTATAGGTGCGAACATTATATTCATAGTTGTTGCAAAGAGATCAGCATTATGTATCGATATATGTCTTACAGCTGTATATATCATTTTAATCGACTTCTTACGCCAGTCTGCGTCTCTATAAGAGGAAACCACTTTTGAATCTAATTATCGATAACTCTTCGCGCTTAAATAGTATCGATAATCGTGGATGACTCTAATGAAACCAGGCAGCAGAGCAGATAGCGTTGTTTTCCAACTAATTATTATAATAAGTTCTAGTCGCTTGCTTCTCACTGAGTACAAGGTATTTGACTAGTCGAGTTGGGCTGGGTAATACCTGCACATAGTATAAAGCACAATCTGAATTCTCTAGCACAGACTCAAGAATCTAAATGGAAGTACTATTATAACATAGTTATATTCTATGTGAAGGCACGGCAATGCAAGGTAAGGCGAGACGAGGCCCCAGCGACAATGATCGATATCAACGGGGTTGAACTATTTTTAAGTTTTGTAGAGGAAAATAAATAAATTAGCGGCATTATGTTAAGAGGTAAGTAATAAATACTAAAAATAAATCGAGACTGCGATTGCGTCTGCGAGCGGCCGTTCGTTAACTCAATTAAAACGTTTAGGCCGCCTGGTGCCAGTCGAGTCGACCAAATTCTTGATCATCTAATAAGTGCACGCTCACACACACGCACACATGCACATACGCACGCGGACAACAGAGTTACACGTTGTCACGGAAGCAAATGCAGTCAGCATTAAGACTGGTTAGGTTCATTAAAAGGAAATTCTTTGAGAGTGGAAAACTTGGTTTGGGGAGTGGGTCAGCTCTTTGGGCCTATATTATGTCTTACCTTGAATTTGTGGTGCGTTAGGCTTGTAGCCCTGGCAATCCGAATTTATTGTACTATTTGACGATGAGTAATTGCTACCCAATTGCTGGGCAATGCTCGCGTTTGTGGTCAGCGCGTTGCCAGCCGATGCAACCGACACCGCAGCAGCCGCCGCTGCCGTTGTAGCAGCCGCAACCTTTGCCGAGTGTCGCAGCGTTTCCAGCTCGTGAAACGTTTTCGGGAAGCCGTCGATGAATGGTCGCTGGCCCAGGCCGAGAGCACGGTACTGAGGACCGCCTGTTGGACCTGCACAATATGGCAACAGAATTTGCATGTGTTATATATATTGATATTTGATGTATGGTACGATATATGGAATTAGTAATTCATAACAGTTCCAGTTATCTGAGCAAATTTTTAGATCTGTCATCTCATTGAGGTCACAAGATTTATTGTGACACTGCTTTGGGTCAAGTCATGTCCAAATGAGGTAAGAAATAATTGCTAGGAAAATCTTCCAGCCTTTATAAGTTAGCACGAAAGTCGATCGATCATCATGATCACTACCAAAGATCAGCGATGTCTGCGAATACTTCACACCTTCACAACACTTCAGTTAACAACAATGTTACAGACGATGCTTCGCGACATCACCACCAGTCGTCGTTAGCACCTTTAGGACATAGGGCTAGTTTAGGCAGCTAGAAGTTATGCTGCTAGTTTATGTGATATTTGAACATAAATCGCGCTGCTCGCTATGCCACATTCAAAGTTGACTTTCAAAGTTTGCTCTTGACATGAGACTTCGCATTCATAATTTATACTTCGATTGTCAAGTTGCTCCGCCTGTCAGTCTAGCTGATAGATCTTAAAGTCTATAGTGCGCTAGCCTAGTAGAGTATGAAATATATGAGAGCTAAAGACATAGCACATAAAATGACTATTTTAACTATATGAAGGACTGCTCTGCGTGAAATCGATGACAAAACTATATCAGGTTTTATTTATTTGAGCACAGCTCACATGTCTTGTCTTTAGCTACATTAGGCCTCTAGAGAAAATTTTGGTATTTTCCTTAATATTTTTATAAAAATTGATTAATTTAATAGGCTAACTGCTAAAACTGTTAGAATTCCCAAATGATTTCTATATATTATTAAAGTGAGATACTTGCAGCTATCTGCAGAACACCTTAAAGCCATTTACTGTTTCATCCTTATTGTAATACTACCGCCTAACTTCTCATTCCACCCTCGCTCGATCATTCGTATGGAATGAACACATACTCAAGGTAAAGCCGCAGCATATTTTATAATGCATATACTTAAGTTAACTCGTATGTAGAGTACGTATTGTCAGTGAAGACCTAAAAATGCATTAACAAAAAAATTAATATTAAAATAAGAAAAAATTAATTCATACTCGTATATGCATTACACAAAACTAAAGAGAGAGAGAGAGAGAGAGAGAGAGAGAAACACACACTCAATATGACATCGTTGCCGCCTTTGCAAAAAGGTTTTTCTTTGAAAACCGCAATTTTTTCAGAAACCGTAGGAAGCAATGCAGCTCAGTTCAGTTCAGTTCAGTTCAGTTGAGTTGAGTTGAGTCGAGTTCAGATGACTTGAGTTAAGATATACATACGTACGTACGTACGTACGTACGTTTATCTGCCTGTCCATCTGTGTGTTGGTAAACCGGCTGCACTTTTCAAACACCTTCCAAAAAAAAGAAGGTCTTCGAAACAAAATGGCGGCGCTCACTTTACAAGATCTTGCATTGCGAGCAATTTTCAAGTCAAAATCTGACGCAAATATTTTGACGGCATGCAACAGAAGGCAGAAGCCTGAGGACAGAAGACTGAAGGTAATCTCTCGACTTCCACGAGGATTATGAGTGATTAGCATTGTGTGCAATTGGCCGATACGGCTTAAGCCAGTTACATCAATTAGACACTTGTCTAATGCGGCCTAAGACCCAATGCTATCCTAAAACCCAGCGTGTGACCTGAGCCCGTCCCGCCTGTGCGGCCTGTGCGGCTTGTGCTTATGTTTCAGTTAGATTCCGTGCTACTTACTTGTCTTGGAGCGCGGCTCCCGGGGACCGTCCACTGTCACTTTGATGGCTTTGGCATAGGTGGCAACTTGCGGCGGGCTTGTTGCAACGGTAATTGTTAGCGTAAAGCTCTTTCCTGTAACATTGAGAAGGGCGAAAGAGAAACATTGGGTATTAAAAGTCGTATATTGATTTACGAGACAGCTAATTGGCTACCGAATCAATTTCCAGCTCCTCCCAAAATGTATTTAGAATGGTCTGCTGTCGACTGCCCTCGATGCACTATATGCCCTTGCAATTCTCAACTACGTTGGCCACTTGGTAAAAGATCTTCGAGTTTGGATAATATTTTGAAAGATTTCTTAGAAGCGCTAGTATAATCGAATTGTAAATATTACATATACATATATAGGTTGTAAATGCTAAATTCAGAAAAGTTCTATACAGTGTGATTTTCGAGATACTTGTAGTTTACCACCATGAGTTCGGATTAACTTTATATAAAGCCCTATGGCTTACTATATCATATATATGAAATATTTTTGGAATTTATAGGGTTTCTATTTCTTTGCTTTTTTCCCCCAAATAATTATGTTGTCGTATATGCCATATATCATGTTTATAAATAAATATCTAAGTAGAAAAGGCCTATTTCTTAGTCTAAACTTTTAAAATATTGTAAGATACCATTCACAAAAAAAACTGTAGTTATATCGAAGCGTGCAATTTTTTGAATTTCGATTTATATCTTTCTCTGCACTCGTATGTATAGTTAAGTCGATATCTATATCCATATACGTATCTGTCACTGGAAAAGGGTATATCTGCATCGGCTCGCTTATCTTATCCTTAGCACTTTAAGCTAATTCTTTTTTTTTTTTTTTAGTATGACGCAATTTGTTTGAGCTCGACATAAATTTTGTTGATCCTTCCTTGATGGCCACCTCCAAGCGTTTGTCCCGCACCGCATTTATGGCAACAAACAAACAGCAACAACAAGAACAGCAAACGCCATAAAATTGTTGAAACCTGTCGGCTGGGCGCGCGAAACGGGGCAACATTGTGCTCTTTGAGTGGGCTTGACCATGTTTACACTATTTATGGTCGAAGCGGGTGTCGCGACGCGCCGCATCGCGCCGCATCGTCTGCTCTAATGGTAAGCGGTGCACGCTGCACACTGAACGGTGATAAGTTTATCGATTTGCCAACCGCAGTCTGTAATCGATTATCGGGCGCGGGAGTCTGTTCGACTTTCGACTGACTATGGCATACGCATTAATTGCCGTTTTTGCTGCGCGCTCTGACTGTCAATTTAATAAATGCATTCCCCCATTTGTATGCCCTGCACCCGTTGTGCAAACAGGGTATATTGGTTTTGTGCATATGTGTGAAGTTAGCATGCCAAACCAGGCGTGGCATGCCCTAACAATCTTGGCACCAGATCAATAAGATCTATATATTCATCTATCTAACTCTGTCTACATACAGCTAGAGACTTAAAGTATGATATCTTTTATCCAAAAAGCAAATATATCGATTAAAACAGCATCCTAGATGCATGTCTATTTTCAATATATTCACACACTGTCTAGTCCTAAGTTTAGTAAGCATAATGTTGTTAAGTATCTTCTCTAGATCATACTTTGTCGAAACTGCAGTACATATAACACTGGGGATTTGCGCAGGATGCAGGGTATCTGCCAGCCAGGGCATTTCAACTAGAGCACTCTGACTTGTTGTCGGTGGTTAATGAACAGATATTTGCAGTGCGTGACGAGGGGGGGGGCTGCAGACTGGAAGCCGCACAGGTAGCCAGTTTATGCACACATTCATACTATATATTTAAATAGCCACTAAAGCAACATTGTTTTTACTTTGTTGCTGCACAGCCAAAAGCTAGCGAGTGAGAGGAGAGAGTCGAATTCGGTACCGTAGACAGAGCCAAAATCAATCCTTCCTGGCAACCGCAAAACCTCAGTCGCAACCATTGCAATAGTCCCCGCCCGCCTGCCATGGGGCAAGTGGGAGAATGCATTGTGCACCCACACAGCAGCAACGCAAGTCGGGTCAGAGGCTGGCAGTAGCTCTGATACTTGCACTTGGACAACTCGACAAAATGGTATTTAATTAAGGACAGTTTAGGCAACGAGCCGGACAGACCTAAGCCAAGTGATGTTTAAGTTCATTAACCCAACTCTGTTTGTTTTTATAACTCTTCACGTATGCCGCATAAACTGTGCTCATCAGTTAGAAAGCGTTTGTCCTCGACCAGTCCGACTCGCTGCTCTCGACTTTCGACTCTCGACTCTCCAATCACTGAGCTCCACTCTCGACTCCCTGTCATTTAGATCTATTGGCGTGCTACGTGGTCGTTGACGCTGGCTTCAAATGTCTTCATTAGCTCGAGTTGAGCTTGCGTTTGAAAGTCAAATCTATCGCAATAAGAAGCCAAATTAATCAAACTGCTCCAAAAAAAAAGAAACAAAAACCAAAAACATAATGACACGAAAACCCGTAGAAAAAAATAAATAAAATTCAAACTGAATACCAAAACTTTTAAAGAGACTCCTAGACATTTTGGTTTTACTTGCTCTTTGGTTGTCATTATTCAATGGAGCGCACCGACGCATTTGTGTTACCTGGCACAGGTTGGGAGCAGGAGGCAAAGGCAGAAGGCGGTCTAAACTGGAGCAGTGAAGCCAAGGCAATCAGCCGCAACTCAACAAGCGAACACGCGTCTGCCTTTTGTTGTACGGATAAAATATGGCACTACTTATGACCGCTAAAGACCCAATGTAAATGATAATACATAATACTAATAATAAAAATAATAATAATAATAGCAATGATAGAAATTATAATGAGCAGCCGCTCTCGACTCTCGACACTCTCAGCCCCGATCGTGAGGAAAACAAAGCATGCAACAACCTAAATGAGTTATCAACATCAGCCCCAGCTGAACAATGGCCATCCAAACAACTCAGCGCATCAGAGCCAAATTTCTAGTAATTGGTAAAGACGATCAATTTAAAAGTGGAGCCAGTCCCAGCCGTGTACAAGTCTGACCATTTATGTCTGCACATAGGCGAAACACTGATTCTATTCTGGTAACTCTAGTATGTTTCAGTTCGTTGCGATAGATTTTCATTTAACTACATATTATTTACTACTATTATTACTACGAATATAGAATGTTTGCTTAAATGCATTTTATTTCTATTACACTTGCTCACTTCAAGTTAAATGAGTATATTCATTTTAAATACCGTCGAGTCCCGATAAATCGAAATGGCAAAGGGATCCGTTTTGATTCGACTTACGTAGAAATTCAAATTATCCAGATTTATCGAGGACGAATTTTTTTCTAGGAGATAGAATTTTTTCGATTTAGGGACACACTCGATTTAGCGGGGTACAAATTATCAAGACTCGACTGTATATTGTTTCTAGTAGTATTATAATTGTTTCTAGCTCTAAATGTTTTAATGATTGGGACAATAAAACCTTGTATATTTGTCAATTGTCATGATGTCCTGGATGAAAATAATGATAATAATCCTAAAAATTTGATTTTTCATGTATTATACTACAGTTTATTTATGGTATAGTTATTTCCAAATTTATTATATTAGATGTGCATATAACAATTTATCAGTTGGTCTGTATGACCTAGTCACGTATTACGTGTAACCTAGGTTTGAAATTCAACAGTTTAACTAGGAAATATACTGTTTTAAGCGATATCTTCAATAGTTTAATATTTTATGTCATTTGTAGTCGCCTTGGCTATTTAAACATATATTTTCATGATTTTGTTGGCTGTAATTCTTAAACTAATCAGCATGTAGATATAACTTTTTATCTAAAATAGAGTCGATCATTTTGTACATAAAACTGTATTCAAATTTCGGTTATTTTCTCGCTATTCATTTTCTTTTTCATCCCCAAAGAATAAAGTTGCTGTTGCACGATGATAATATTGTATTAGTTTATATTTATATAAATTTGTATACACATATATGCATATTTTTATGTATGTATATACCAGTCGCTTTGATATATGTATTGTATATAATCCAAATATCAAGTCTATAGCCCTAACAGCGGTTCATGCCATATCATTCATCGTGCTTAGTTTGCAATAGATACACTCATTTAATATCCATATTATTATTAGTATCTATATAATTAACATAAGCCGAGGCTACAAACGTTCATGGTATACTTTAACTATCTACATTCTCTATATATAATTATTTAGGCAGAGAGACCAACAAACCAACATATTCTATAGTTCTTCAGTGAACGAGAGTAATGTTCGGATTGAAGATATAACATGGCTAATATCATGAAGACGTCGAACGATTTGTTAATAAACTTTAAGCCTATGCAAAACTTTTTCATAGAGACTTATTAAGGCAATTCTAGAATAGCATCGAGGAGGAGTTGGCATTCCTTAAACGAATCGCAGCTTCATTTGTCTTTCTTTTTTATTCAACCTTTTAATTAACGAAATACAGAGGAAACTTATGGGACTTAGGCGAGGAATCGCTGCGGCGCGTGTCACTCATTTGCCGTTTTTAATCCTTTCGGTTGTTTGTCCTTTGATATTAGATTAGGGCTGATAAGAGATGGCCGGACGGATAGGCGGTCTAATAAAGGCCAAAAACAATTGCCAGATTACCAGATTGCGATCAAACAGTTGTTGGCCAAATATTGAAAACCATTTAAAGGGAGGGTACAACAAAAAAAGTTAAATAAATCTATGACGCGTGACAATGTCAGGCTTTTTTGGAAATCTGTATTTAAAAATATGTATGTATATGATATACACACATATATATTTATATACACACATATATTTATATATACATATACATATAAACAAGCGCTCACACACTTTGAATGTTGTTTGTTTGCTGGACGAAATGAGCTTTGTCATTTAATCAGAAAACACCGCATGATGTCCTGGCTCGCCATTTACATAGCCCTCTCGCTCTGGCACTCGTTGTATTGGCCATGGGGGCGTTGGGCGTTCGGTTCGGCTATTAAATAAACGACACTGGGGCTGTCGTTGACAATTTGGTCAGCGCTTACATTCTTACATCATTAGCTTGTTATTTGCATGCCTGTTGCCCGCCGTCGTTGTCGATGTCGTTGCTCGGCTGTTGTGGCAGTAATTATTAGCTGCCCCTTGCGGCACGAGCCGTCAATTGGCAGGCATGCAGGCTGCCTGCTCTGGCCGCCTGTCCGTCTGTCCGTCTGGCAGGCAGTCAGGCAGGCAACAGTTGCAGCTAATTAGCCAACTGCTGCTGCTGCTGCTGCTGCTGCTTCTGCAAAATTCTATGCAATGGGACTCTGAAGTACCAGCTCATGACCATATCCCTATGTATTATAATGTTGGGTTCAAATCGATTATAACATTGCGTGACACCCAAAGAACAGCTTCAGCTCAGCTCGGCTCAGCGCAGCTCAGCTCAAGGTATTCGTGTGAGCAAGCCGACTGCAGCCAAATTCGCGAACTGTCGACCCGAGTGGTTGTCGTTGTTGTCGAGTTGTTGCATGTTGCCCCGGGGCCAGCGCAAACTGCAGCAAGAGCAGCAGCAGCAACAGCAGCAGCAGCAACAGCAGCAGCAACAGCACGATCAGCAGCCTAATGTGACGACTGGACATTGATCCTTGCTGCGTGTTTGGGCCCATTCACAATAATCACAAAGCTGAAGCTGAAGCTAAAGTCAGAAACGCATTGTGCAACGGATGCCACAAACTTAACCCGCTCAATCAAAGCACTTCCGCTCCCAGCAACAACTTCCGTTCCTTGGCCAAAATTCGGATTCTTGAATAAGAAATTTGCTCAACGTTGCCAGACAAGAAGACTGCAAGTCGAAGAGTCTTTTGTGAATTAAAAGGACGAAGCTTTATTTTTATTTTTGGCCATTAGAAATTAATCTTATCAGATGTGACCTGATGTGAAAGAATCTCCATTTGGGTATCAGTCAACTTTCTTGCCTCCTATATTGTAGAATGCATAGATAATCATGAGGTTCCAAGTTTTCACCAAAATATCTGAATGAAACTTCCACTGCACTAAGCAATATATTGCATATTATGTCAGTAGTTGACTCAAGTTCAAGTGCAGCTGTCATATCTATTATTATTATTCGCTTGGTCATTTTCCTCCCTGATCTCTCCTTTACAAAGTGAACGACTTAACATTTGGCACATGTACTGGTGTGTATTCAAATAATCTGCCCATGTATATTCCAGTTAATTTTGAGGTATATACGCAGAAGCGCACCTCTGAGATTTGGTAAATGGAGACCCCTCTACGTATGTCTGTCTCGCTCTACGCATCTACATATTTGGAACTCACCTCGACCACTGCGTCCGACGAAGCGGAGATCGTTGAACTTGGCCACGCCGTTCTTCATCTGGGCTGTGTAGTTGCGGAGCTCGGCACAGCAATTCTCGTCGTTGCCCGCCCGGATGGTCACATAGGTGCCATCGCCGACGTCCGCCAGGGCGACCACTTTAAAGGCCAGCGGCAGAGTTTTATTCGAGCGCCAGTGAGAGGGCAGGGCGGAGCAGAGGAAGTACGGATTGCTGGTGCGCACTGCAATGCAGAATGATAAATAAAATTAAATCAAATCCAAATTGCAAATTAAAATCAGAAAAAAAGCAATAAACAAAAATGTATAATCAATTTATGGATTCATTTATAATATCTCCAAAATATGGTGAATAATTGATAGTTATTTGGCGGCAGCATTTGACCATCAATCATTTCCATCTGCATTAACCGTTCCACCATGGCGCTTCATAATTAATTAGTGGGTGGTCAGTGCCAAAGACACCGTCAGTTGCCAGCCAACGGTTAACAGTTACCAGTTGGCACTTGCCAACTGCCCCATTGTGGGGCAACATCTGACAGTCAGTCAATCAATGCCTGAACAATCTACGCAGAAGGTCACCAGACATCTAGTTGCTGATTTCTAAAAATCATTTCTGAATTGAATTTTCAATTTCAAGCAGCATATATGTATGTAGATATATGTATATAAAGTAGTCTATAGGTATATAGAGGTATATACAAACATACATATGAGATAGTTTACCAAATATCGCGATTTGATATTCCATCAAGCCGAAAGCTTCAGTTAGCACTGTTTTATTATTAATTTTATATCAACTCTGACTCTAAATATTCTATAGTACTGCCATCCTTTCATGCTTCATAGCTTCAGCATATAAATGATTGTATTTATGCTCGAGAATGTCTGTGTTGCATCTTGCTGTAAGTTTATGTGTATTTATTACTTATTGTGCATTTTAGAACTACAAACTAGATATATATACATGGGCATGCATATGCACATACACAGATACATACATACACACATATATCCATACACAAACACGCATATGTATAGATATATGCAAAATAATTTCGCGCTCGTAAATCGCATAAAATCGTAAATTCTACAGTTTCATAGTTCCATAAATTTCACTAAAATGTGCGCCCAATACAGCATATATTTTACACGAACTATTTGAATTTGCAAACAAACAAAAAAACAACATTTTCTGTTCTCTACAGATTAATAAGACAAATAATATTTCATAATATAATTTATATTACTAATATTTAATAATATTGCGAGATAAATAATAAACTGCGGAATATCATCTATTTAGTGAATTACAAAATATAAATTATATTACAAAATTTTGTCGTGGTAAAGAAAACTTTAAAACTAGTGGTAGCTATTCACTCTTAATTAGAGGGTATCTTATTACAGGGTATCTAACGTCTGAGGTTACAGCTTAACAGTAGTGTCTCTACAGTACCTGTTGGCTAACAACACAATAATTACGGATATGATATAAGCAATATCTAATACCTACATACTGGTACAAGGTATATGATAGTTAACATTTATTAGTTAGAGCACATCCTACCATATCATATCATCACATCAATTTGTTTATCAGCTAGCTATCCTTCTACGTTCGTAAATTTGTCATAATCAAGCTGCTGAAGAGCATAAGCACAAAAGCAAAAGAAAGAGAAGAAGCAATCGACCAAAAATGCATCCAAGTCTTATAGGGAACAGGGTAATCTTTCACTAAATTCCACGCAGGATGATTTTCTCAAGCTCTGAGATTTCATATGGGTCATTGATACGATCAGGCATATATGGATTTCAGTGAAATGTTCTACCAAAGACGAGCGCCTAAAGTAGAAGACGAAGAGGAAGAAGTAAAATAAGAGCAGCAGAAAAAAGAGCAGCCAAGACTCGTGCGTTGATATCAATAACAATTATTGATATCAATTTACTCATCACCGAACATTGATATACACTAAAGCCCTAAAAGTTTTCGATATCTTATGAATGTCATCCTGGCCACGCGCTAAAGCATCGAAAGCAAACTTGCACAGTTTGTATAAGCAAATATATAATATAATATGTCCTTGTAGATTGAAAATAAATATATCTAATAATTGGGGTTACATTTGGGAAAAACGAAAGTTAAATGCCTTCTATTAGAATTTTAAAATGAGAGAAATCTATTAAAAACCGAATTTGATTTATTTTCCCTTTAGAGGTATCAAGAACAATTCGAGCTTAATAATATGCTTTCTATAACTATATAGAAAAAGGTTTTCGTTTTTGCTAGAACTAGAAAGATCTAAAAGCGAAAATACCAACTGATCTTTGATAAAAATATCAACGAAGTCGAACTAAATAATTTAATTTATATTTATGACAATATAGAGCAAAAGTCGAAGTCAATATCGGTACACTATGTGCTTGCATATTGTATTTCTTTTTCTTTATAATATATATAAATTTTGTATGATGCATACCCAATTCGCCGGGATATTCCTGTTGTCGTTCGAGCACAAATCGCTCCATCCATAGCAAATCCTGATGTACTGCATTGTTGCCATTGTTGCTGTTGTTGTTGTTGCGACTGTTAGTATTGTTATTATTATTATTGTTGTTACTACTGTTGTTGTTGTTGTTGATATTGATTTTATTGCCACTGCCACTGTTGGCACTGTTGGCGGTGCCATTGCTGGCGCCACCTGTTGGCGAACTGCTGCCGACACTGGCACTGCTCGACGGCAACACCTCGCACATGATCGCCGCGGCGGCTGAGCCACCAGCGGTGGCAGCAGCAACAGCCGTATTGGCGCTCTTATATTCCGCTGGCGCTGACCAGCCCGTACCCGTTGGCGATGCTGATGATGTGACCATGCTGCGACTGCCGCCGTCGATGATGCTGCTGCTGCTGCTGCTGCTGACGGGTGCCACAGCCGGGACAGCTCCTGTTTCGATTGCAATTGCGCCCGTATAGTAGCTGTTGAGGTCGCTGACGATCGTCGTTGTTGTTGCTGCAGTTGCTGTTGCCGCCTCGCTGGGCAAATGGAAATGCATTCGGTGTGGGCGTCAACAACTGAATCAAAATCAAAATCCAAATCAAATCAACAATTATTGCTGTTGTATTTTCCCTTTTTTTTTTTGCGGCGCCAATTTGTCGAACGACAAGTGATTTGTGCGGGCTTCGCTCTCTCTATTTAAAGATTTGTATTTTTCAATTGCAGTTTATGTTGCTGTTGCTGTTATCACTGTGGATCGATAACTGATGCCTCAAGCAGTTGCAGCAGCTGATGGTTGTTGTTGTTCTTGCTGTTGTTGTTCTCCTCTATTTTGATTAATTTAATAATCAGGCAAAACAAAAAATTAGTCACAAATTAACACTCGATGACTTAATGACGACTATTGTTGATCTTGCTGTTGTTACTGTTGATGATGTTGTTGCTGCTGCTGCTGCTGCTGATTCTGCTGCTGTTTGGATGTTTAACTCTTGACTTCCATGGCTATTGCAACATTAGGCACACACAGATAAACACACACAYACATGCGTAGATCATAATCAATTCATTACATTCATTTGCGACTACATTTTCGCGCTTTTTCTTTTTTGTGCTGTGTCATTTGACAACAGCAACAACAAGAGCATTGTTTTTACTCTCCTATTTCTTTCTAATTGGAACAACAGTATCACTTGGTTTACCAACAACAGTTTCCGTTAAAAGTACCAGAAACTTTTGATTTTGTAAATGTTTATTGCTATTTTGATTTCAAATTTTATTTGATTAACGTATTTATTAATTTTTTGTTTGTTTTTATTTTTTATTTTGAATCTAAAGTTTCTTTTTGGCGCTTTTTTGTTTAGCCTAATTCATATTGCAACAATAATAATTATATTAATAGTAATAATTAATAAATCATTACACTTCCACACACRCACACACACTCACACACACAATGGCAAATTCGTAAAGAGCCATGTGCAGTTGGTTTTTTGCTATTTGATTTGATTGCCAACAAACAAAATATGTAAAAAAAAAAAGAAACAGGTGCGTCCGCGTGTCGAACTAAATTGTTACTGACACCTAACGTGGCCACCAGCGGCGAGTTAACCTATAGAACAGCCGGCAGCCGAGCCGAGCACAAAATTCACTCATCGTCATCACTATCGGCGCGACGGCAGCAACAGTAAACAGCCGCCGCAACACCCTGTCCGCTGTCGCTGCTGCTGCTGCTGCTGCTATGATAAGCTGCGAACATTAATTCCAACGGCTCTCTCGCTCTTGCGCTCTTTAACTGCGTGCTGCCTGCACTCTGCGCTCTTATTCAGCAATTGCCTTTTCAACGGCTGAGCTCGTTTCACTCTCTCGCCGTTACGTCTGCGTCGGCGTTGAGCGCTAGCCAATCGGCATGCGGTTGCCAGTGCATTGTGCGCAGACCGTTATGTCTTAAACGCATTCTGATTGGCTAGACGCTGTGTGCATGTGTGTGCCTGTGTGCGCCTGTGATTGTGCTTTGTAGGTCACGGTGGTTCAGGCAAGTGTTTGCTTTTTTTCCGTGGAGCCCATTGCCGACTGTCATTGGGTGGAGCCCAATTTATTTGCTTCTGTGCGGCCAATTGGCCTCGGCCGCTCTTTTGAATGCTCTTTGCCCTTAGCTTGTTTTGTTTTMTCCAAGCTCTTGCTTTCTCTCTCTCTCTCTCGTTCTCTTGCCTTTCTATCTCTCTCGTTGTCAGTCTCTATATCTTTCTCTTAGGTGCCCTATCAATTCTTATTTTTGTTGTTTTATACTAAGTAAACAGTCCTTGTATTTATGTTAATTTTTTTTATGTATTTATTTTTTTTTAAGGCAAAACGATAGTTGTTATCAAACTCCAGATTGGGCTGTGCGGTTATCATAATTATCATAAATGCTACAAGAATATCTAAAACTAAATATTGAATGTAGTAGTTATAATTTACGTACCAGCCGATCGAAGTGGCATTCGCATTTGCATTAACTAATTACTCTTACTTGACAATTTTCTTACGAAAGCCCGCTTACAGAGCAGTCAGTGCGAACTTATGCAGGAATGACGATGGTTGACTCAATTCGAGTTCCATAGGTATTCATGCAGCTTGTTGCATCCACACACACATGCACATAAGTACTCGAAAGTTAATCAAATATTTCTCTTAGCTCTAACTGTTATTGTTGCTGTTAACCACACAACTTATCACAGATACATATATAAATATTTTTACAATATATTCACATAGCTCAAGTTGGCATTTTCACATTCAAGTACATACATATATATCTATGTATATACATGTATACACTAATATTCTCATTGGATTATTATTATTTCGCTACTGTGGGAAACTTTTGGCTTATCAGTCGAAACAAAAAAGAAATAATTACTTATGAAGATCACATGGTATAGTCGGCTAGAATCTACCCTGGAAATTAAGACACTTTATGTGTGAAAGTGGTGGGATGACGGTAAATTGCCCATAATACTATAACGAAATTTCAGTTTATATTTTAGTAAAATTTGTATACAGAAATATATCTAGTATGAGCTACACAATGAACTCTTTCAATGAATACAGGGTATTCATATACATTTTATACGATATGTGCAAGAGCACTCGCTCTTATCACATTATGTGTGGACATTTGAAGGTCAAGCAACATGCTTAACATTTATTCCCACATTATTCAGATAAAAGCAAGTAAGAAAGCTCTAGACGAGACTGCTCGGTTACGAGATCCGCTGATCTCTTCCAGGAACTGATATTTCAATAAATCTAACTCCTTTTCAACGTACTCAAGAAACGGCACATGGGCACACACACACGCAGACTCATATACGCACACACACACATTAGGTGCAGTGTGGGAGCTTAATTGCTTAGTAACTTTGCTATGCCTTGAACCCATTGAAAATGGAAAATCAGGGAAATCCAATCTGTCCGTCCGCGCGTTCGTATACATGACGGCGTCAATATCAGAAGATATGCT